GGACAGCTCCGACTCGGAGGATAGCATACCGCCGGAGGTAGGGGCGTGCCCCAGGTCATTCTCCGCCTGCTTCAACCGCCTGTCATTTGACCTCTTTGAGGTCTGGGTTCTAACCAGCAAGAGGCTTTAATTTACTTCCTGTGGGGAAACGTGCTATCAAGTCAGCAGGCTTATCTTATGGGGCGAGATCATGCAGTCATTCAGCAAACTGAGCGCCCACTCAGTGGTATGCCAGATGGTACTAGACCCTGAGAAACGTGCTATCAAGTCAGCAGCCTTATCTTATGGGCAGAGATCATGCAGTCATTCAGTAAACACAGAGCAGGCACCAGTGGGATGCCAGGCAGTACTAGACCCTGAGTCAGGGGTCATCAGGATCAAGGCCTTGGTAAAAATGCAGGTGCCTGGGCCCCTGCCTAGCATACTGAGTCCCACTTCCAGGCCTGGAGTCCTCTAGCATGTATTTTTCAAGAAAGGCTCTTGAAGCTCAGGATGTCCACAAGTCACACTGTTTCTGTCCTCCTGGAACTCACAGTCTAGTATGGACTAGACAGAGGTGAGAGTCGGCGCAGATAGCCCACAGTGGTAAGTGTGGATGGAGATGTGGAATCAGCAGAGAGGAGGAGTGGCTTCCCGGAGGAAGGAGTGGATAAGACAGAAGGAAGAACAAAGCAGCGGGAAGGGTGTGCAGGCAAAGAAACAGTTTGTACAAAGGCTGGAGGTGAGAGAGCACGTGATAGGTTAGGGTTGGAGGGGTAGGAGACAAGGGAGGTTGACAAATCATTGAGAGAGAGAGTGGGACTGTGTCCTGAAAGCATAGGGAGCCATGGGAGGTGGGTGACATTTCAGACTTGCAAGTCACATCGCCCTGACCATGGCGTGATGGGGGCAGTGGTGAGCTGCACCCAAGCAGTGCTGCTCCAGGAAGCGACTGAGGAGGGGGGACTGCCACACTGCATGAAAGTCACCTTCTGGGAGTGGCCTGTCCTCCCCAGTCCCACCCAAGAGTTCAGTGCACGTCTGGTCCCCCAGGATCCCCAGAGCCTGAAGTGCTAGGTGCAGGAAGGTGAGGCACCCAGGGTCTGTCAGAGAGATGGTTGCTGTCTGCAGGACTGTCTGGGACATGCAGCTGTGGACAAGACAAGGGCCCAGCAGACAGGATTTAATTCCACTCTTTGTTGAGTCCCAAACATGTGCCAGGCATTGGCCTAAGTGCTTTAGATGTGTCATGTCTTCTGATCCTCATATGGGATGGTATTGTTATCACCCGTGTTCATTGCTCTCCTTTAATCAGTCATGCTTGCTCTCTCTCCCTTAGTGGGTACTGCTAGGACTTCTGGTGGTGGAGGAGCAGCTCTGTGGGCAAAGACATCTGGCTTGACCCTGTGTCACTTGCAGCACCCAGGACAGTCCAGGCACAGAGCAGGCACTTGGGGAATAGTTGTTGAATGAATAAATGTTGCTGCTTATCTTTGCACGGCTTTCTATTATCTCTCTCTGTATGAGACCACATCTTTGATTAGTCAGTGGATGGAGTTTTGGAAAACCCAGATCTTCCTTGTAGAAAGGAAGGGTGAGGCCAGGCATGGTGGCTTAAGCCCGTAATCCCAGCACTTTGGGAGGCCGAGGCAGGAGGATTGCTTGAGCCCAGGAGGTTGAGACCAACCTAGGCAACATAGTGAGATCTCGTCTCTACAAAAAAATAAAAAAATAAAAAAATAAATAACCGGACATGGTGGCACACACCTGTAGTCTTAGTTACCTAGAAGGCTGAGGTGGAAGGATCACCTGAGCCAGGAGGTCGAGGCTGCGGTAAGCCATGGCCAGACTGGGCGACAGAGTGAGACTCCAACTCAAAAAAAAAAAAAAGGAAAAGAAAGAAAGAAAGAAAGGAGGGGTGAGAGAAAGAGAAAGAGAGAGTGTGAGTGGGTGTGTGTTTGCAGATATAGTTGACCCTTGAAAAATGTAGGATTAGGGGTGCCAACCCCAACCTTCTGTCAAAAATCCATGGAGAACTTTTGACTTTCCCAGAATTTAACTACTAATAGCCTACTGTTGACTGGAAGCCTTGCTGATCATATAAACAGCTGATTAACCTGTATTTTGTATGTTATATGTATTGTATACTGTATCCTTACAATAAAGTAAGCTAGAAAAAAGAAAACGTTATTAAGAAAGTCATCAGGAAGAGAAAACATGTTTAGTATTCATTAAGTGGAGGTGCATCATCATAAAGGTCTTCAGCCTCGTCCTCACACAGGGCAGCTGAGAAAGGAGGAAGAGGAGGGGTGGGTCTTGCTGTCTCCGGGGTCAGAGGTGGAAGAAAATCCATGAAGAAGTCGACCTGCACAGTTCAAATTCATGTTATTCCAGGGCCAGCTGGATGTCCTTTAAGTGTGAGCTGGAAAGAAAGTTCTCACAAGCGTTAGCCCTTACTACGGTCTCATTTGACCTGTCAGTTTGGCAGATCGAACACTCTTTCCTCCTTTGTCCTTGGTACCCGCACCTCGTGCACCTCCCCAAGGCATCCTAGGATGGCCTGCACTGAGCACGCACTTCTGTTTCTCTAAGAATCTTGCCTTCCAAATCGAGCCCCTTCTCAGCAACCCCCCTCTCCCTTGGCTGTTTCCCCAGCCCCCAACGCTGGAGCTCTGCCTGGGCCCATCGGCAGGCAGTTCCTGAGCCAGCGGAAAGTGCTTCGGAAAATTTATGAGCAGCAGCTGGAATGACAGTAACTGCTGACTGGAAAAAGCCCCCTCTCTGGGGAGTGACGGATGGTGGGTGGGCCTGAGGGGTATCCTTGCAGAGAAATCTTTCCTGTCTGATCAGTGGCCTAGGCCCTCCTCTCTCCGGGCACCTGGCAGGCATCCCTCAATCATACACCCAGGGGTCCACAGAGCCCAAAACTCCAGCACCTTTAGAGCCAGAAGAGCAACCGCTCTGTGGCTGGTGGGGTGGGGGGAGAGAGGCAGCGAGGCCAGAAACGTGCCCGGGGTTGCTGTCTCTGGGGCTTGGGGTCTGCCTTCCGGAGCCTGTCTGGCCCACTGCCTGCCTCCTCTGTGTTCCTCAGTGCTCTGCAGGAGCCTCTGGTGAACGTCTGGGCTTGTTGCCCAGGAGGCTGCACTTTGGGAGCAGGAGAGGGCCTCCTGCTGTGGCCGAGGGGCCTGACCACCCTGAGTCTGGGGGCCGACTGCTGTTGGCCAATGCCAGAGGAAACCCCAAGCAGTTTCCTTCTGGGAACAGTTCCTACTGAGCTCTCCTCCTACTTCCCACATTTCGCCCCGACCAACCTCGGTGGACCGGGACCAACTTTGGTGGGAATGGGCTGGGCCAGCCACCAAGACTGGTGGTGGTTGGCTTCAAGGCCCCAGCCTGGAACCCTGTCCTACAGAACAGAAAGAGGACAGCAGCAGCCAGTTCTCTGTATGCGCCAGGCACCAGAGATTTGTCAGCAAGCAGGAGCAGAGCCTGTGGTGGTTTCTCTCTTTTTTTTTCTCCTTGTGGAAATTTGGGGTAAGCAGAGCTGTGACCTGCCAAGCAGCTACATTCTTCTTTCCTGTAGAAGCATCTGTTTAAATACTTTCCACCTCAAAGAACGTTAGTGCATTCCAGGGCGGGAGGCCTCCTTGGGTTGGTTGGGCTGTGTGTACACAGAACACTGCAGAGAGAGAGAGAGAGAGAGAGAGAGAGAGAGAGAGAGAGAGAGAGAGAGAGAGAGAGAGAGAGAGAGAGAACATGAACGCATGCTCACATGTGGGCTCACCCACCCATCTTCCAGGGTGTTCCTGCAAGGCTGCGTGCTGGGCATGGCTGGGCTCTGAGCAAGGATGTGCCAGTGCAGCCTGGTCCAGCCCATACTTGCAGAGGCAGCTTTAGTGGTGACTTCTGCAAACTTGCTCGGGAGATTTGCAGCCTCTGCATCCTCTCCATGTTCTGTGGTCTCACAGGGGATGTGGGGCATGAGCAGAAGGTTGAAGTGTGGGCCAGAATGGGATGTGGCATCTCCTGCTCAGTGGCTGCCTCCTGCCCCAGACTCCTCTGTGGATTTGTGGGAAAGGGCCTGGGTCACTCATGTAGCGGGAGCCCCAGGCTTTGTCTAGTCCTTGGCCTCTCCCTGCCCCCTCTTCCTGACTCCCAGATGAATACAGGAGTCCAGGAGTAAGGGCAGGCTTCCCGGGCGTTCCCTCACCACCATCCAGCCTGGGTGTGCAGTCATTGCACCAACAGGGGGGACCTTTTTGGTCCAAGCTGAAGACTCAGTTCTAAAGAGTCTGTGGCTTTTGCCGTGTCACTTACCCTGGGCATCAGTTTCCTCATTTGTAAAATGGGAGTAATGATTCATATCTGACTGTGCCGGGTTGTTTGAGGTTAAGATGAGGTAATGGATGTGGAAGTACTTTGAGAGAGGGTATGAATGATGCTATCATCAAAGAATAGCGCGTGTGTGGAAGAGTCCATGAGTCACAAGCATGCAGCTCGGGAGTTTCATGGCATGTGTTCACTGGATCAAGAACCTTCCTTAGCAGAACCTGGACCCTGCCCTTCCCTGCTTCCAGAGGGTACACTGCTCTGACTCCTGTCACTGTGTCTGTTTTGCTGTTTTTGAACCTCATGGGATGCATAATGCTGCCATGAACATGTTCTGGGTACACATACTTTCATGTCTACGGAGTACGCTAGAATGGCAGGGTCAGAGGTGGCCATGTGTTTAGCATTTACAAAAAAGCAAATAGTTTTCCAAAGTGGTGTTGGTTATATTGCTTTGCATGCTCACCGGCAAGGCACAGGTTTCCCTTATTACACATTCTCATCCGCACTTGGTTTTGTCTGAATGTTATTTGAGTTCAAGGAAGGATTATTATTTTATTATTTTATTTATTTATTTGTTGAGTTGGAGTCTCACTCTCACCCAGACTAGAGTGCAGTGGCCACTCCCGGCCACCGCAGCCTCAACCTGCTGGGGTCCGGCAACCCTTCCGCCTCAGCCTTCCAAGTAGCTGAAACTACAGGCATGCGCTACCACACCCGGCTAATTTTTGATTTATTGTAGAGATGAGGTCTCACTAAGTTGCCCAGGTGGGTCTCGAACCCGCTGGCTCAGGCAATCCACTCACCTCGGCCTCCCAAAGTGCTGGGATTATAGGCTGAGCCACCGAGCCCGGCCTCAAGGAAGGATTATTAACTTTTTTATTTTTTATTTTTTTTTTTTGCTGTCTCTGACTTAGATCTTGGAGAGGACTTTGGAACCTGACAGCTCCGATGAAGAGCCCCCACCTGTGTACTCCCCACCAGCTTACCACATGCACATGTTTGACCGGCCTTACCCTCTGGCTCCCCCAACTCCACCTCCCCGGTGAGAATCTGTCTTGTCTCAGAGTGCAGGGTGGTTGGGAGGGGGATCAGGAGTTGAGTTGTGTACAAACACAGTGGGAACTTGACTGGACCCCTCAGTATATTATTCCACCAAGGACAGGCTTCTATTGCAAGCAAGAGACATTTTAGCTAGATACCACGAGAGCTTTCAAAATGTAAGGATTGCAAGATCAAACGTTTACTAAATTTTTGCTCTAGGCTAGGTGATATGTCCCATACCATACGGGACACAGAGGCTCAGCCTCTGCTTTCTGGGAGCCTATGCTCAGGGCACATGCCAAGTGGGAATGACAAACACATGGGATGTGTACTGACACTTTCCCTCCTGAGCTCATGGCAAGCATTACTAATTAATTACTGTGCTCTTTCCTGCCAAGCCAAGACAGAACTTCCGAATCCTTCCCAACACAGCACTCCAATTCAGTAGTCAGTCATCGATGGAATGGCTGTGTGCTGTCTTGGGCTAGGGATCTTATGGGGATTTGAAGCAATGCAAACAAGACTCTTTTGTTGGGGTAGTTTGATAACTGGAGACAGGGAGCAGACAGTGAGGTCCCTGGAAACTTCTTCCAGGTTAGAGACTCTAATTTGGAAGCTTACAATGAAGCTAGTTGTCAACGGGGTTCCAGGGGTCTCTGACTGAGGCACTTGTTTTTCTGGTCTCCATGTTTAGTTTGAGGCTACTGGAGTGGAGCTGTGGCCTCTTTGTCCCGGAGCTCCTGTTCCTTAAAATGACTCAGACCTGGGTGGGGAGGGGTGGGCAAGATGATGGAACAGGGGACTGTCCCTAGCCCAGAAGGGAAGGCTCCAAGCAGTGGGAGTGGAGAACTCTGTTTTCACACAGGTATAGCTCATTTGTTAAGCACCTTCCCATGCCAGACGCTGAGAAGGTTCTTTTCCCACATCATCACATTTAGAACAGAGGTGACCACCGTTGGCATCATCCCCATTTTACAGATGAGGAAACTGAGCCTCAAAAGGTTTCATAACTTCCCCAAGACCAAGAGCTGGGATTCGAATCCAGGCCATTCTGAATTCAAAGCTAATCACGCTTCACTGCTGTGTCCTGTCACCTCCCTATGCAGTAAAATCTCTGTGATTCCAGCTTAGGGAGCTGACAGAGTCCTAGAGAGTTACTGAGAGGAGGGAGGGTATTGTTCCGAGTCAGGGACAGGAAGAGAGCTAGGGTCTTTATCACTGTAAGAGACAGTCTCAGTGTATGTGTTTAAAATAGAGTTGGGGGTCTCACTATGTTGTCCAGGGTAGACTTGACTTCCTTGACTTCATTGATCCTCCAGCCTCAGCCTCCCAAGTAGCTGGGATTGTAGGTCTATGCCACCACACCTGACTGAGCTTTCTAGTCTAAGTGTGGTGTGGGTATCCTGGCCCACATCCTCTCCTGCTGTGAGTAGTAGGGCTGGGGGTCAAGGGCAGTGCAGCCCAGGATGGGAGCTTCTCTTGGGGGCAAGGTGACCTCAGCCCTGGACCAAGGCTCAGGAAGCTTTGTTCAGACCCTGTGGACTTTGGAGAAGTTATTGCCCTTGCTGGAGTTTCCAGGGCCTGACCTAGGAAGTAGAGACTTTGCTGGACTGGAAGTGGATCACTGAAGAGAACTTGAGCTATGGAGTCAGACAGAAGCAGACTGCTCTCCCCACCTACTTCCTTCAAGCAGCCTAACTTCTGATTCTTCAGGTGCCTCTGCTGTGTGGCCTTTGGCCCATGACTTAACCTCTCTGAGCTTCATTTGCCTCTTATGAAGTGAGAATACTGATTTCTGCCTCAGCACTGTCATGAGGATTGAATGAGCTGTGGTGTGTGAAGCACTCTGCACAGTGCCATATGGCCCAGACCCATGCAGGTGGTCTACTGTTCCTGCCTGCTCCCCACCCCCCGGCTGTACTGGCTGGCCTGAGTTCTGCTCTAACTTGAACATAGAGACCAGTGGCAAGGCTCCCCCAGGGTTTGGAAGAGGCCGGTGTCCCTGTGCCCAGGATGGCTCTGCCAGACCCAGATCTACCCCTAGGCCATCTCCAGGACCCTGTCTAGGACATCAATTTCCAGCGTTTGTTGAGTCGTGTGTGAAACAGAGAGGAATGCCTTGCTACCCCACCTTCAACTCTCAGAGAAAGTGGAGTCTGGGGAAGCCATGGACACAGGGGCAGGGAAGGCTGCCTAAAGAGACTGGGGTCCACTCTGTGACCTGGAGACCACACTGGCAGTAGTCTGGAAAAGCAGAGGACAGAAAAGTGTTCCGGGCAAAGGAACAGCATGTAAAAAGGCCTGGAGGCAGGAAAGAGGGAACCATCTAGCCAACCCTTGGAAGTATCTAACAGCTGAGTGAGGCTGGAGAGGCCAGCAGATCATGGGGGCCTCGTGACCCTCCGGTAAGCTTTGATCTGGCAGCCAGTGGGGAGCCAATGAAGGGCTTTAGGCTGGAGGGTGATAGGAGCAAGTTAGGTTTTTAGAAATCTTTCTCTGGCTGCTGAGGGAGATCAGATTTGTGTGGGGAAATGGCCTAGAGTTCTGCTCTAACTTGAACATAGAGACCAGTGGCAAGGCTCCCCCCAGGGTTTGGAAGAGGCAGGTGTCCCTGTGCCCAGGATGACTCTGCCAGGCCCAGATCTACCCCTAGGCCATCCCCTTCTGCCACCTCCAGCCACTGGGGGACCTGAGAGCCTGCAGACAGGGCAGAGCTTGGACATTATCCTGCTGGGACACAGAGAGGCAGGGCCATCCCAGGGAGCATGCTTGGAATGTCAGGACCTGGGCTCAGGTTGTGCCCAGATGATCTGTGTACCCTGGGACAGGGCCTGATCCTATCTGGACCTCAATGTCCAGTCTTTACCAAAAATCCAGCTTAGAAGCTCTGTGTCTGGAATCCTTCCCCATCAGGTCTGATGTTCCATGGCTAAACCTGGGGATTGGATGGGGCTGAAGATTCTTTCTAGTTTGGGGGTCCAGGGAGGAGGACGCTGACCAGGAGCTCTACCCCAGTCTTATCTCCTTCCCCTCCCCCAGCCTGTCCTTTTGTTCATCTTTCTGAAAGTCTCTGAAGGGGGGAGGGGGGACGGACCCTTCCCGCACAGGCCGCCTGCTGTTTTTCTCTTGAAATTACAGCCTTGGAAGTTTTTTATTTGCCTCTCAGCTCATTTCTGACATTCCTTTCCGACCACAATGGAGTTGCCCAGACTGCCTGTGCTCAGGGCCCCTGGCTCACGCAGCTGTGGCTGACCTCATCTCTACCCACCCGTGCCAGGCAAGGGCCCGGGAGGGGGCTGGGCCTGTCCTTCCTTCAGGACCAGGGCCTGGCGGCAAGGGAGACACAGCTGAGAGCAGGGGCCTGCCTCACCTTGTCCCCTTCCCAACTTGAATTTCTCAGTGGTGAGAGGCATCCAAATGCAACTCTGGGGCTCTCCCTCCACTGCTCTCCTGGGTAGCTCCAGGTCATGGTTAAGTTGGGAGTGGGCACCCATGTCCCAGATGAAGACTCTGAGACCCAAGGAATGGTAACACTACTGCAGAGGATTTCTGCCCGCTGTGGCTAGAGGTGGTCTGCACATCCCTGAGAGGTGAGGCATCCTCTCCCCTGCCTCTCAGGCCTTTAGAGAAAAATGAGAACAGTGACAGGAGGTGGCCAAGCGATGCAGAAAGAAATCCGGCCTGGGACTGGGAGTCCCAGATCATGACGCAAGCTTCGCTCCAATCCGTTCCCTCTCCCTCTTCTGTATGGCGAGAGGGTGGACGAGGCGTGCTGGGGTTCCCTTGGCTCCAATCCACCAGCACTGAGCTCCCACCAGGCACTTAGCAGCTGGTTATCCGTCTGCCGCCGCCCCCGCCCCTTCCTCTCGCCTTCCTCGGCCACCCGCCCAAAATAGAAAAGGAAAGGAAGCTATTTCCATAGTCAGCGGCAGCCCGGAAAAGCTCCCCTCCAGTGAGGGGGCGGGCGGGATTCCTGGAGCTGGAGACCAAATCAAAGCCAGGCCCAGGGCGAGAGTGGCCCCCACCGCTGGCCCTTGTCAGTGTGTCATTTCCCTGATTCAGCAGAACACGTGCCCTGCGGTTGCCACGCCACAGGCTGCCACGGAGCTGTGGGGAGATCTTGGCCAGGATCCAGGCTACTCTCAGGCCCTGGTGGAAGGGTGGGGGTCAGGGAAGATGTGTGCTGCCCCCATCTCCCCCAGTTGACCCCTGGCACAGAGCTCCTGTGACACTACTGGCCTAGGAAGAGCGGCTCCTGATTACCCTTGGAATGAGAGCTGTCCATACCCGCCTCTCTATATGCCGTTTCGGAACAGCGTTCAAGACACAGCCTTAGGGCCAGGTGCAGCGGCTCACGCCTGTAATCCCTGCGCTTTGGGAGTCTGAGGAGGGAGGATCGCTTGAGGCCCGGAGTTTGAGACCAGCCTGGACACCATAATGAGACCCTGTCGCTACGAAAAATCAAAAAGCATTTTTTAAATTAGCCCAGCATAGTGGCACACACCTATAGTCGTAGCTACTCAGGAGGCTGAGTTGGGAGGATCTCTTGAGCCCAGGAGGTCAAGGCTGCAGTGAGCTATGATTGCACTACTGCAGTCCGGCCTGAGCAAAACAAAACAAACAACCAAACAAAAAAGCCTCATAGGGCTCCCAAGCACCTTGGCAGGGAGGTAGCAGTTTCCAGATGAGGAAACTGAGCCCCAGAAGGAAGCAGGGTCTCACTCAAGACAGCGCCCCTGGCTTGTGGCTGAGCCAGAACTGGAACCTCTTCTGCTTTACCTTCTCTAGGGAAGCTGGCATCTGCCTGTGTCCCCTCCTCAGCAAGCCATCAGGCCGCAGGCTGTGCTGGTAGAGGACTGTGTGTCTGTTCATTTGGATCGTACCTGTTACTCAGCAACCATGAGCCTGACGCTATGCCAGCTGCTAGGGCTATGAGCATGAAAGGCAACGTCCCTGGCTGTCTTTAGAGGACACTCATAAATGTCTAGTCTAAATCCATAGTGTCTCACATGAGTACCAAGGACAGAGAGCTCTCTGGGTCTAGGGACCTGGAGGGCACTGAGTGATTGGAGAGCCATGAATGTCCGGCTCAGCAGGTGCCCAGCCTGAGGCCGAGGCTGGGGAGTTCACTAATCCTGGTTTGGAAGGGTCTCCAGCGATGACACAGAGTGATGGGCCTTGGTCCTGGAGGCAGTGGTGGCCATGGGAAGCTCTGAGCAGGATCCGACCTGCCTGAGGACATGGTGTAATGGGTCGAGAGACCTGGGCTTGGGTTTGACGGCTCCCTCCTCGTCACCTCCTACTCCCCAGAATCGACGTGCTGGGCTCTGGACCCCCTACAAGCCAGAGACGCTATCGGAACTGGAACCCCCCACTGCTGGGCAACCTCCCAGATGATTTCCTCCGTATCCTACCCCAGCAACTGGACATCATCCAGGTACAGGGCTGCCCTCCCCTCCACTCCCACCTGCCTGTCCAGCCTCTTTCTTTTCCCACACAAATTGTGCCAGCCAGTTTTGCTTCCTGATTTTTAACCCAGGCTGAGCTGTTTCTGTTGCTCTGGGTTTGTAGGGAAAGAACGCTGAACCAAAAGCCTCACTTCCTGTCTGGGCTTGTAAGTTTCCTTTTCTACTCAGGGAAGGTGACGGCCTGAGGAGGCTCTCTGCTGTGTCCTTCGGGCTGGAGAGAGGCGGGTATGGGGCGGCCAATGGCAGAGGGCCAGAGGGAACTTCTTCCCAAATGTTGGCCTGCCCCAAGATGCCCCCTGCAGTGGGGGCAGGTGCACCCTGAAGGCGGCTGGTGCAGGGAGAAGTTTGGGTCTGGGAATCCATGTGTAGGTCATTGAACAGTTTGCAAATCCCTTTCTCAAGATTGTTCAGGCTGTAAATGAAGATATGCGGTGGTCCATGGTGCGGAGGAAAAATAGTTTTTAAGTCCTTGCTGCTTCCCTAGCATTGAGGGCTCTGACCTGTTCCTTTGGATTTTGGCTGACAACTAGGTCTCACTAGGAGCTGCGGGCCTCAGGGTGGGGGGGCTGTAGGCTCCTGGGAAAGGGCATGAATACACTCAGATGGACGTGGATGTTTATGCAGCACATGCCCCTGTAAATAGGCATTCAGCATGCTTGCTCCCCTCCTCAGGGTAACCCAGGGGGCCCCAAGCCTGTGAGTGGAGAGGGAGGTCTGCCTGCCACGGCCAGGCCTGGGCCCCGAGACCAGGAGAGCCGCTGGAAGCAGTACCTGGAGGACGAGAGGATTGCGCTCTTCCTGCAAAATGAGGAGTTCATGAAGGAGCTGCAACGCAACCGTGACTTCCTTCTTGCTCTGGAGAGAGGTGGGCCCTGGGCGGGGCGAGGGGGGGGGATTTGAGGGGACACAGGGGAGGTGGAGCCGCTTCTCTGTGGCTGAAGAAGGGAAGTGATGCTGGCTTTAGCCTTGGGGCTCAGGAGAGCACTGAGCTGGGGACCGGGGTGCCAGGTGCTTCCCATCCTGCAAGTTATCCCACCAAGTTATCCCATGGAAGCCCCAGAATTCTGCCGGTGGGGACCTCGGTTGCCAGCCACCCCTTCTCCCTCCCTCAGGACTCAGAGGAAGAGGGGCATGCCCATTTCGGTCTCTCCTTTTTGTTGCATATCTGCTCTGTGCCAGGCACAGGCCTTGGCACAGGGCGATGGGGGGGATAAGGTGCCCTTCCTCTCAGAGCACCTGCCACAAGGCGGGTGTGGTATGACTGAGTTCATGAGCACCTGAGTGGAGACTCCCTGAGTGGAGGACCTTAGTGGTGGGCTCTCAAACTTTTGAGGTATTTGGGTTGTCTTTGGGCTGTGGACCCTGCTCTGCAGCCTGGTTGCCCTTCCAAACTGAAGGGTGGGAGTGTGTTTGTGCTGGAGGAGGTGAGAGGGCTGTGGAGTTCTGTTCCTGTGACAGTCACAGGGTGAGAGCTTGTGTGTGTGTGTGTGTGTGTGTGTGTGTGTGTGTGTGTGTGTGTGTAATGTATAATGTGTCTGTGGTGGAGGAGCAAATTGTGCAGGGAAAATGTTGGGCTGAGAGGAGAAGCCCAAGGCTGGCTCCAACTCTGCAGCAGAGGGGTGGGGCGGGGGGAAGGCCTCAGGACCTTTCCTTTTAAATCAGGGGATTTGGATTCTGTGGTCTTGACTCAACAATCTCTCATGGTCCTTCTAATTTTGACACGCTGTCCTTCCAGATGGTTGTCAGGCAGTAGTTTGTATGTTATGGCTGGTTCATTGAGTGCTGGTAGACATGTGTGCATGCATATTTTGTGTGACTGTGTGTGCTCATGTTTGATTCTGGGGGTTCAGCTTCCAACAACCTCCTTCATTTCAACCCAGCCTGTCCTTGGGAGCTCAGGAGCTGACTCTCCTGACCTAAGAACATGGTCCTTTTCCAGATCGATTGAAATATGAATCCCAGAAATCCAAATCCAGCAGCGTGGCTGTCGGAAACGACTTTGGCTTTCCCTCTCCTGTCCCAGGTAACTTACCTTGCCTTCCTGGGAGGGATGTCTGAAGGCATGAGGGGCTTACACCCCAACTTTGCTTTGCGCATTTGGAGTTTGGGAGTAGGGTGTGGAAGCAGACTTGGGGGACCCTTGGCTCCCTCAGCAGGCTGCCCCCACCTCCACACCCACTCTGGAGTGAGATGGCCACTCCATGTAGTTGCTGGATTGGGTCTTACCAATCCAGCTGCTGCCAGGGCTTCTGAGCCCACACCTGTGATCAGCTAACATGAGCTGGCAGAACTCCCAACCTGTATCTGGAGCGTAGGCTAGAAGAGAACACATTGTACCACACAGCGTCCCATGGTGGGGGAGTGGGTAAGAAGGACTCAGAGACTGATGAGGCTTGATCTCTGTCCAGGGGGAGCTTATGGTCTTGTAAGGAGATACGTCCAAGAATCAGGCAGAGCAGACCAGCAAAACTGAGGACACACCTGTTGATTATAGCAAATGTATGGAGCAAAGGAGGACAGGATTAATCTGGGAGAGCTCATTCATTCATTCATTCACTCACTCAACAGCTGGGAAATATCTGCCATCTGCTAGGCCCTGCCCTAGGTGGTAGAGGAAGAGAAAACTTGAGCTTTGTGTACAAGGTAGTGAGAAGCAAGAATTGCCTCAAAAGAGGGCCAGTTCCCTCCACACAAACACCCTAATGACTGAAAGAGGCTGGCAGCAGTGCTACTGGAAGACAGGGAAGGTTGAGCTGGAGCTGGGAACGTGGAGCAGAGGCCTAGGAGTCCCCCGGTTCCACACTCAACACCTGGACTCTGCCTGTGTGTGAACAGTGGCCCTGCCCGGTCGGTGCCCCACGCCCTGCACATATACAAGCTGCCCATCTCAGAGAAAAGCTCAGCAGCTTTTGCCTGAAACAGACTTGGCATCGTGCAGTGGAGTGGGGGTGGGGGAGCAGAAGGAGGGGAGCTCAGTTGATCCCAGCTCCAAGGGAGAAAATCCCGTGGAACTGATTCATAAGCAACAGGCTGGGAGCTTAGACCCCACCAGATGCGCATCTGGGAGTTTTAACCGGAGCCTCTTTCCTTGATCCTGAATTAACTAGAGACACCAGGGCTGCTGAGATGGATCAGAATGACTCAAAGGGGACTTAGCAGGCAAGGTGACTGGGGATTAGCCAAGTTGCAGGATGGAGAGCAGGGGCTTTAGGAAGGCAGGGAGAGACCCAAGTGGGTGCTGAGGGAGCTGGGGACACTGTAGGTGGCCGGCTGGGTTCTGACTCCAGGACTAGCCGCAGTCTTATTCCTGCTCACTGTCGAACTAGCCAGAAACCCTGTGCCTGGGAAGGAGGAGCAGAGGGGGCTGACCCCGGCATGAAGGAGAAGGGACTTGCAAATGCCGGCTCTGTGCCATTACCTCATTGGACTGTCAAAGGCATGTCTAGGGGAACAGGCCCTCGGTGTGTTGGTGAATGTTTAACAGCCGGCTCTGGTGCCGGGGAAGCCTCGTTTGTAGTGCCTGGTGACCTCCGTGGTGGAAATATGCCCCCACGGCTGACTTCAAGCTACCGATGTGACTTCAAGGAATGTAGAGTTGGTCAGAGAAGCAGGTAGTTGAGACCCTAATGCGAGTCGGCTCTCCACTCACACAGCAGACCAAGAGACCGGCCCTATTTCTGCAGAGGAGGAAAGTGAACCCTCAAGGAGGCAGGCATGCGCCTAGAGCCCCGAGTGTCCTCCTTGCTTTAAACTCCTCCTGCTCAGGGAAGAACCTGTTCATCCTTCCTCAGGTGGGAGGATAGGGCTGACACAGCCACCAAAGCCGTTGCTCCCTCTCTTTGGCTGGCCCTCAGCAGGTGTCTCCTCCTTCCAGGAACTGGTGACGCCAACCCTGCTGTGTCTGAAGATGCCTTATTCAGGGACAAGCTGAAGCACATGGGAAAGTGTGAGTCCAGCCCATGCCCCCCTTCCCTCCCCAGCAATTCTGAGATGGCCCCTGTGGT